CTTTCCCTCCTCCCCTCCCCTTTTCCCCCCTCTCTCCACTTTCTCTCCCTCTCTCCCCCCCTCTCTACATCTCTCTTTCTCCCCCTCCCTCTTCTCACCCTCCCCCTCCCCTACACCCTCCACTGCATTACCCTCTTTCCACTATTCTCCACATCTCCAACTCCCCGATTCTCTCCACTCCCACCCCTTATTCTCTCTAACCCTCTCTCATTCTCTCCAACCCCTTCCCCCTCCCCATCCATCCATCCTCTTCAACTTCCCTCCCCCCCATCCTCTACAACTTCCCTCCCCTCCCTAGTTGATACCTGCTTGATGGGGTTCTGGGAGTTCTTCTACTCCCCTCCCCATCTTCAACTTCCTCCATCCTCTTCAACTTCCCTAACTTCTCCAACACCCTCCCCTTCCATCCTATTAAACACCCCCTTCCCATTTTCCAACTTTTTTTTTCTTGTCAACTCTCAAATCCAGGGATTCCATCACAATGGTTGTACTCTTCAAGTCACTTGTGCTGTCCCGTCTCGAGTACTGCTCAGTACTCACTTCCCCCTTCAGAGCAGGAGAGATTGCTGAAATAGAGGGAATACAGAGAACATATACGGCACGCATAGACGAGATAAAACACCTAAATTATTGGGATCGTCTCAAAGCTCTCCAAATGTACTCTCTAGAAAGGAGACGAGAGAGATACCAAATAATATACACATGGAAAATACTGGAGGGTCAGGTCCCAAATCTACACAGTAAAATAACAACGTACTGGAGTGAACGATATGGAAGAAAATGCAAGATTGAACCTGTGAAGAGCAGAGGTGCCATAGGCACAATCAGAGAGCACTGTATAAACATCAGGGGTCCGCGGTTGTTCAACGTCCTCCCCGCGAGCATAAGAAATATTGCCGGAACAACCGTGGACATCTTCAAGAGAAAACTGGACAGTTTTCTAAGAGAAGTTCCGGATCAGCCGGGCTGTGGTGGGTACGTGGCCCTGCGGGCCGCTCCAAGCAACAGCCTGGTGGACCAAACTCTCACAAGTCGAGCCTGGCCTCGGGCCGGGCTTGGGGAGTAGAAGAACTCCCAGAACCCCATCAACCAGGTATCAACCAGGTATCCCCCTCTTTGTTTTCAACTCTCTATCCAACCCTTCCCTCCCACTCCCAATTCTCTTGAACCATCTCTCTTCTCTTCCCGTTTTGTGCAGTGCACTTCACTCTTTTCACACACTCCTCTCTTGCTCACTAATAATGCCTTCCTGTTTAGGCTCTTAATAACACTATTTAAATTGAATAATGAGCCACAGATATTCAGATATGTTGTTAATCATTTTTGTTACTGTTTCAGGTGACATTGGTAACTACTATTATGGTCAGGGCCACCCAATGAAGCCTCATAGAATTCGTATGACACATAATCTACTTTTAAACTATGGCCTCTACAGAAAGATGGAGATATATGTGAGTACAATGGGATTTCTTTTAATCGCACATAAACCTTTATGCATGTTATAATGTACTGTGGTATCAGTGAGCCCATGCTATGGGTTATCTTGAGGTTATCTTGAGATGATTTCGGGGCTTAGTGTCCTCGCAATCTGGTCCTCAACCAGGCTTCCACCCCCAGGAAGCAACCCGTGACAGCTGACTAACTCCCAGGTACCTATTTACTGCTAGGTAACAGGGGCAACAGGGTGAAAGAAACTCTACCCATTTTTTTTCGCCGGCGCCCAGGTTCGAACCCTGGGATCACACGATCACGCGTCCAGTGTTCAGTCCGCTCAGCCACCGGCTTCTGAGTGAAGTGCATTCTCAGTGTTTGCTAATACTAAGTGGTCAGTTCTATTAAACTTTATACAGTACTGTACTGTATGTTCACTAATTGTGCATCCTGTCCTCCTAAGGTTTCCCAACATCAAGAAAAGATCTATTTAAAGTGTCGTCTCCTAACATACCAGAGGACCCAAAACAGAAAACGGGACAGTACGTCACTTTCGCGAGCCACTTCCATTTTCTAGTACAGTACAACAATTTTGGTGTTATGTAACGCATACAAGGGAAAAGTGACGTTCTTTGTAGGAGGACAGGTTGAATTGTGATCATATGGGGACAACCTAAATGGGAATCATGTGGTAGTTCTTATTAGCTGAAATTCCTGAGAGGCTGGTACAAAAAAAAATTATATTGTCCCACACCCAACATAATACATATTTCCTCATGCAATAAACATAAATATGCAATGTTAGGGGAGGATCTTCATATAATAAATAAACTTGAATGACAAAGAAATTTCAAGTTGGTAGGTTTAACATGTGCTTGAGCAATGAAGGATTAGAGTCCCTGGCAGCACTCAGTGGCACTATAACTCTTAACTTGCTCTTAACACTACCACATTGCAGCTGCTTTCACACACAGTTTTGAACAAAAAATAATAGTATCTATCAAAGGAAAAGGTTAAAGACATGCTTGAACCTCGGCGCTGCTCCACTGTGTGTAGCTGACATCCTCCCAGGGCGCACGAAAAAGAAAATTCTCTCAAATTTGTTTTCCTTCAAATACAGTACAACCTCAATTCAATTAACTATATAGGACTAACCATAATTTGTTGCAGTGAGGGATTTTTTGCAACTGGAAATGTCTCCAAGATGCAGTTCCCATGTCCTGTGGGTTAATTTCACTTTGCAAAATTTTCATTTCAACGTATGATAGACAACTACCAAATGAATGTCTGCAAAAAAAATGTAACCACATCTAGCTTGTTTCTTGTGTCCCCTGCTACAAACTCATTTTCAAAAGGTACCAGAGTGGTCACATAAAGTGTCACATGGGTGGGCAACTTTACAGGACTGGGATGGGTTCACTCAGGACTTAATAATCAGGCTGGCAATTACAGTACAAGGGAAATACTCCTATACAGTACAGTATTAGCAGGGAAATGCACTATACAGTCTGTACACTCAGTTTTCAATGATCGGTTATTATTTGTATGAAAATTAAATATTTTATTATTTTATTTGATATTAATGTAATGTTTTAATGTAATTCAAGTTGTGAACAAAGACTGCCACATGTCGTTCAGTAACCCTGCCACAAAATCCAGTCAGTAATTAAAATTTTGTTCAAATTAAGTAATCAAGAACTGAGTATTTTGGTTGGAATACTCAAAGGGCCAGATTACTGTGGTCCAAATTAGCAAACTTTAACATTATACAGTAGATTAAAAATTTTGTTTGGTCATTTGGGCTATGCAGCAGCATGCAACTGTTTGGTTGACCAGACCAGGCATGTCAAACATGCGGCCCTTTGCAAGCACACCTGCAGCCCGCACAAAGGGCCACAGTCGTAAAGTGATAAAACATTTTAAGTACTACAAATATTCTGCAATAATTTTTATTAAATGACTTCAATCAGTTGTGGTGTGTGGTCCACATGAGAACACAGATGTGACCCATGTGGCCCTTGGGGGACCCTCATTTGTGATGTGTGGCCCTCATGACAACACAGATGTGACCCATATGGCCCTCGGGGACCCTCAGTTGTGGTGTGTGGCCCTCATGACAACACAGATGTGACCCACGTGGCCCTCGGAGGGACCCTCAGTTGGTGTGTGGGCCCTCATGACAGCACAGATGTTACCCACGTGGCCCTCGGGGGGACCCTTAGTTGTGGTGTGTGGGCCCCTCATGACAGCACAGATGTTACCCACGTGGCCCTCGGGGGGACCCTCAGTTGTGGTGTGTGGGCCCCTCATGACAGCACAGATGTTACCCACGTGGCCCTCGGGGGGACCCTCAGTTGTGGTATGTGGGCCCCTAATGACATCACAGATGTTACCCACGTGGCCCTCATGACAACACAGATATGACTCGCATGGCCCTCGGGGGACTCTCAGTTGTGGTGTGTGGCCCTCATGACAACACAGATATGACTCATGTGGCCCTCAGGGGGACCCTCAGTTGTGGTGTGTGGGCCCCTCATGACAGCACAGATGTTACCCACGTGGCCCTCGGGGGGACCCTCAGTTGTGGTATGTGGGCCCCTAATGACATCACAGATGTTACCCACGTGGCCCTCATGACAACACAGATATGACCCATGTGGCCCTCGGGGGACCTTCAGTTTGACATGCCTGGCCTAGACCATGAGTGCAGGCCTGATCAATATTATGTGAATCTTCTCACCCCTTCCTCCTGTTTTGCTAGTACTTATTGTAACTATGTGATAAGTCATGCTAATATGTAGTAATGGAGTCCAAGTGAGCCACTTTTTGTACTACAGTATTTTTATATAGTCTGGAAAATACAGTTTAAAAACCAGACTTAAATATTCCTATGTCTACTATAGCACACATACTGAATGTACAGTATTAGGCCTCAGATAGCTTGTATTAGGACTAGAATGTTACATTAGGTTAGGTTTTATTAGCAATATAAATCTAAAAAAATTTCCAGTTTGGACAAATTCATTACTACAAAACTCTACTTTCTGCTGGTCCATAACAACATACTTTGTGTGTACTTTTTGACCACATTGTTACTACAAGTACTTTTCATTTTAGGAGGATGGGCTGATGTATTGTACATTCACAATCAGCATTGAATGCATGAACACATTAACAAGTCTAAGATATGGGGGATTAAGATGTCACTCAAGTGATTTTATAATTGCAATAGTAAATGTGTATAAATTGCAGCAGTAGTATTGCAGTGAAGGTGACTTGGGACTAAAATAGATTTGATATGATTGTAGGATTCAAAATACTGTTCAGTGTTTGTATTTGATGTATACATGTTTCAGAGGCCGCACAAAGCAACACAAGATGAGATGACCAAGTTTCACAGTGATGACTATATTAGATTTATTCGATCCATCCGACCAGATAACATGAACGAATACAACAAACAGATGCAAAAATGTGAGTATCAAACTATAAAATCTCTTCTATCCTTCCACTTTCTCCGGCAAGTCAAGTTAAGTAATTTAATGTCACAGAAATTTATTGCATTTCAATAATAATAATTAATATTAATAACTCATTGTGTTGGAGAACAGGCTGCCGTCAACCCCCCCCCCCCCTCCCTCCAGGGTAGAATTACTGACTTGGATACAACGCCACAAGAAGCTGACTAACTCTGGGTATCTATTTACTGCTAGGTGAACAGGGCATTAGGTAATGGGAAATGCGCCCATCCTTTACTCTCACGCCTGGGATTCAAACCTAGAATTTTCGATTGTGAGTCGAGACTGAACTCTACTGTGTTCTACCTGGACACTAAATCCAGGTAAATTATAATCCTCTTTCCCACATTTGTTTATATTAAGCAGGGAAGCATTAGTCTAATGAAATAATGGCAGTAGTACAAAATTTTAAGTTAAAATATATTTCAAAATTTCACTAGTTCATTCACCATATCATATGTACTACAGTACATAGCATGGAGAACTAACACTATCATACTCAAGCAAGTCATCCACAGCAGGATCCCACTGTTTTTTGAGACCAGGTGTACGCTGTCCCTAGTAAGCTGGAAAATATACAGTTTAAAAACCAAACTTAAATATTCCTATTCCTACTATAGCACACATACTGAATGTACAGTATTAGGCCTCAGATAGCATGTATTAGGACTAGGATGGTTACAGTAGGTTAGGTTTTATTAGCAATATAAATCTAAAAAAAAATCCAGTTTGGACAAATTCATTACAGTACTACAAAACTCTACTTTCTGCTGGTTCATAACAACATAATGTATGTGTACTTTTTGACCACATTGTTACTACAAGTACTTTTCATTTTAGGAGGATGGGCTGATGTATTGTACATTCACAATCAGCATTGAATGCATGAACATATTAACAAATCTAAGATATGGGGATTAAGATGTCAGCCCCATGCACTCAGCCCCGGGTCCAGACTCATAGAATTCAATATGTACAAAAGAAATGCAAAGAGCCAGTAGCACAGACACTCAGTATAGTGTGGAGGAAGAGCTTGTACACGGGAGATACTAGGAGATACGAGAGATGTGCTTAAATCATCTCGGTATAAATCGGGAGATACTAGATGTGCTTAAATCAGCAGACATAGCTCCTGTATACAAGGGAGGGAGCAAAGCATTGGCAAAGAATTAAAGACCAGTTGCACTAATGTCCCACATCATAAAATTATTTGAGAGTGAGATCAAGAGTCAGGTCACTAGTTTCATGAAGACTAATGACCTTCACCACCCAGGTCAACATGGATTTAGAGCGGGAAGATCATGCCTTGCACAGCTAGTTGAGCACTGCGGCGAAATCACTGAGGCATTAGAAGAAAAACCTAATCCTTGCCCCATGACTTTTCCTTATTTTCATATCAGATATAGACAAAAATACAAGTCATAGCTTTGTATCATCCTTTGCAGATGACACAAAGAGCTTTGTATCATCCTTTGTAGATGAAAATTACCTCTGCTGAAGACATTGAAAAACAACAAACAGATAAAAAAAATAAAGTTTTTGACTGGGCAGCAGAAAATAATATGACGTTTAACAGTGATAAATTCCAGGTGCTCAGGTACAGTAAAAATTAGGACCTTAAACATAATACAGGGTACAAAACACAATAAAATCTGCCCATAATTGGAAAGCAGCATGTAAAGCATTTGAGAATAATGATGTCTGACGACCTAACATTTAGGGAGCATAACCAAGCAAATATTGCGTCAGCCAGAAAAATGATGAGATGGATTACGAGAACTTCAAATCCAGGGATCCCATCACAATGGTTGTACTATTCAAATCACTTGAGGTCACATCTTGAATATTGCTCAGTACTCACTTCCACCTTTAGAGCAGGAGAGATTGCTGAAATAGAGGGAGTACAGAGAACATATACGGCATACATAGGCGCGATAAAGCACCTAAATTATTGGGATCGTCTCAAAGCTCTCCAAATGCACTCATTAGAAAGGAGACGAGAGAGATATCAAATAATACATAGGTGGAAAATACTGGAGGGCCAGGTCCCAAATATGCACAGTAAAATAACAACATACTGGAGTGAACAATATGGAAGAAAATGCAGAATAGAACCAGTGAAGAGCAGAGGTGCCATAGGTACAATTAGAGAACACTGTATAAACATCAGAGGTCCACAGTTGTTCAGCATCCTCCCAGCGAGTATAAGAAATATTGCCAGAATCACCATAGACTTCAAGAGAAAATTAGACAGTTTTCTTCAAGAAATGCTGGACCAACTGGGCTGTGGTGGATACGTGGGCCTGCGGGCCCCTCCAAGCGACAGCCTGGTGGACCAAGCTCTCATAAGCAGAAGAACTCCCAGAACTATATCAAGCAGGTATATAGAAAGAAAACAGTTGCTCCTTCACAAACTGCAGAGGCACCTAGCCTTGTTCTACAGTGGAACCAATGTTCCTTCAGTCAATCTGTCAGTTCTATTATCCAAATGGGCTTGGATAGTAGAATCTCCAGTCCTCAAATACACTTTATTAGTTTATCATCAAATTGTTCAGTGCACCCAAACCATCTTGGTGCCTTTTTTTTCTCTCTCCTTTCCACTAATGCCTTCCCCACCCTGTGAAAGTTTCAAATTAAGTGTGACAATGTTTGCATGTGTGTGTGCATAGTTTGTTGATATATATATATTTTTTCTTTATTTTAAATACAGTCAATGTTGGAGAGGATTGTCCAGTATTTGATGGCCTGTACGAGTTCTGCCAGCTGTCATCGGGTGGTTCCATCGCTGGAGCTGTGAAGCTAAATAAGCAAGCATGTGATATTGCTGTCAACTGGGCGGGTGGTCTTCATCATGCCAAAAAGGTACTGGGTCATTAATACATCCTTATGTGTAGTCTTGTGTTTTAGTTATACTGTAATTAGAGAACTGTGGTGAAAAAATATTGTGTTCCAGTCAGTCAGTTGGTGTGTGTGTATGTGGCAAGTCCAAGGAAGTGGGTTCAGTCTCTATACAGCCTCAATATTTTTTTGTAGATATACAGTAGTATAATGTTTTTGTGATTTCATTGTGTATGTTTGTTATGTTCTGCCTTCATTGTAAAGTGCAACCTCAAGTCTAGGCTACAGTAATGTACATAGTTTCAGACTTTGCTGGAGTTTGGGGAAAAAACTCTGAACGTTAAAAAGTTTGTATGAGCACATCTTTGTGTATATGTACCCATCCAAATTTATACCAACAAGGCATAATATAAACAAGGAAATTCCAGAAATTCCTTAATAACTGTAATACTATTGAACATGTATTAATTGTCATATGTAAAAATAAAAATATAACAAAATTAATAAAAATGCAATTGTAATTTTTTAAATTCATGTATTTTTATTAATCTTATTTTTTATTTTCATATTCATTTTTATATGATTGTTAATAAAACTGAAAAAGGAGAAATTGTAAACTAAGGGCCACAAACTTGAGCTTAGAAAACCAGCGTGCTGAAAAGATGCCTGAAAGTTTTTTTTTTTTTTTTCTCCAAACGGTGTAATAGGCAGTTAGAAAAAGTTTAGTGGAATGCCAAAACCCTCAGTGGTTTTAAAGTGTCATATGACAATACCGTGAAAATGGCATACCACAAGTATAGCTCTCATCCTGTACTTACACTTGGGTAATCTCTCACAGGCACTAACCACAGACCTCTCGTACACCAGTTCTTGGATCTACCTCTTATTACACTTCATTTGACGTTTATAATTGTTGTTGTTCAACTTCCACACACTAGCAGGGTGGTTTTGACGTTCAACTTCCACATACTGGCAGAGTGGGTTTTGATGTTCAACTTCCACATACTGACGGGGTGGTTTTCATGTTCAACTTTCACATACTGACAGGGGGGGTTGACATTCAACTTCCACATACTGACAGGGGGGGGGGGGGTTAACATTGCAATTCTCAAAACAACCCCAGATGTCTAAAGGTAAACAACCCAACCATACTAGCTCATCACCACCCATTCTAACTCAGCCTAACCAAACAGAACCCAACCCGTTCTCGCACTTTCTTATAGTCAATATTGACTTATTAAATAAGTGCATATGTGACATACTAATTCATTGTGACTATTTTAGTTTACCTTGAAAAGCTTCATAGAAAACACCGACCTTACCTAACCTTCTTAGTATGTTAAGATAAGCATCTTATTGTTTCAAAATTACAATTATTACTTAACCTATACCTATAATAGGTTAAGTAATAATTGTAATTACCTATACCTATAGTAGGTTAAGTAATAATTGTAATTACCTATACCTATAATAGGTTAAGTAATAATTGTAATTACAAAGCAATAAGATGCTTACCTTAACATACTAAGAAGGTTAGGTAAGGTCGGTGTTTTCTATGAAGCTTCTCAAGGTAAACTAAAATAGTCACAATGAATTAGTATGTCACATATGCACTTATTTAATAAGTCAATATTAATATTGACTTAAAGAAATTGCGAGAAGGGGTTGACAGAACCACACCTACCCTTACAGAACCAAACTGTACCTCATCTCACCTTACAGAACATAAAGTGATCTATTGTATCCTAATAGAATCTCACCTACTCTATCTTAACCTAACAGGACCACACCTGATCTTTGTCCAAAATGCACAACAAAAAAATTACAAAATGCCTAACTGGAGATTCGCCAAATCGAGGTTCCAATATATTATTAGAGGAACAAAATCATATACAAATTCCTACTATCAATACTTCTTAATCGCTTCATACAAATAAAGTCCATCTCTATTTATTGCTCATTTATATGTAATACAGTGTACTTTTATTATGGGCTATTCATGCTTGTGCCACCTCTAGGGTGGCTTAATCTTCATCAATCAAGTAATACTTTTAACCCTTTAACTGCGCAACGCGCCTGCAGGCCCACGTCTGGGGTGCACTACGCGCCTCCGGGTATTTGTATTTTTCACGTTCCATTCAAAACTCGCGCAGCTACATGGGGTTCACATCAGCTTCCTCAGGGGTCTTGTAAACTGACGCCATCTTTAAAAAAAAATCGTGGTCCACATTTCCGGGTGTGAGAGCCTCAGTAGTGAGTGAACAACAAAGGCTGGCGCACGCAGCACGAGCTCACAGCACTGCTGTTCAGCTTGGGACCACAACATCACCTAATAATGTCAAAATATATATATAACTTGTATTATTTAGCTATGATAGTATTACAGAAGAGCTTGAGTGTGATAATGACTGTGTACAATGTTCAAATATTAGTGATTCAATGCTGTTCACGATGTTCACAGCGCTAGCCACAGCACCACAACATTATTTCGTCCATCTAGGAATCTTCAAAAGACTTCTTAGGTTCCTTTACAAAATAAACTTGTGATCAATTATGTATTTATAGAATTTAGTGACCAGTTTTGTGATAACAGCAGGATTGTGGTGATAATAATAAGCACTGTGCGTAGTATTGTGGGAGGAATAATTGTGGTGAGGGAGAGAATCGAGGTAGCCTCACTGTGTGGCAGCCACTCTTGTTTTGCTCATCATACTAGCTTAGTGGTTCGCTATGGTGAACACATTTGTACATGGGTATATACAATGTGTGTGTGTATAGTGTAGTAACAGCAACAGGAGTATGTTGGGAGGAGCTATTTTGGTGAGGGAGGTGATGTAATTGTAGTGTCGTCTGCTGGCTGCTGTGTGATTTCTCATGCAGTGTATGGTGGCCACTGTAAAGTTTGGACACAATATCGGCTTACTTGCATAGTTCTGGTGAATAAAACTTGAAGGTAGGTATGCTTAACATGTGTAAATAGTGTAATACAAACAATAACAGTATGGTGGGAGGAGCAATGTTGTCACGTAAGATGTTGGAGGAGTGAGGGAGAGACTGGATATTGGAGAAGTGAGGGTGTGGCAGCTGACACTCGCAGAGTTCTGAGTGTGTTCATGGTGAATGTATATAGTGTGTGATAGTGTATAGTGTGTAAATACAATATATATACATAAATTAGCATAATACAATGGAAGTATGTGTCGGATATGTGTACACACATGTCATGCACATAACACAGTGTCTTCAGACAGTACGGATGTTCTACTGCCATAATATAGTGTACGTGTTCATTATACATAGGATTGGCACGTAAAAGCATATAAAATGTATTTGGAACTGTGCGCAGAAAATGAACAAATATATATTCGCGGCAACTCGCGTATCCTGCCCCGAGCACCCTACCGGCCCCAGAGGCGTATGCCACGGGTGACCAGGCAATGATGACGTCACGCACGAACTTACGGACCCCATAGCAGCTAAAGTACTTACAATTTCAACCTTCTGTTACTATACCCTTACTCTGGGAAGGATTTTTGACACTTTAAAAAAAAAAAAATTCCTGAGATTTTATTTCCTGCCTACTGGGGGTGTCATATTTGGAGGCCGTGCAGTTAAGGGGTTAATTGCATGACCTGTATATTCAACATTTATCTTGTAGTTGTATTTTGCATGTATGTTGTTCAGACTCTTCGAATTACGACAAAAAGCTGAACTAGTTCCCACTTATTTCAACCTGCAAAGCTCATCTATTTGATATCTTAAGTTATTATTAAATACCAAAATATTCTGATATTAATGTCAAGTGAAGTTAGCAGAGGAGAGATACACACACTCACCTGATATACTAGGAGCTTTGTATCAAGAACGCTCACGCATAGTCAAAGATGGGAGATATATATTCGACATGTCACCAAACTCAAGTTGCTAACTTCAGCTCTCTAATATATAACAAAGCCCTATTATTACAGTTACATTAATTCTATTATAAAAATTGATAATTGAACTCAATCCTTGAAACTTAAAATATCATGATTAGTACAGCTAATTATAAATAAACATCAACATATTTTGCTGTACAGTATTTTAGGTGAAAAATAAACAAAATTTGTTATACTGTACTGTATCTACTGTTTAAAAATACTGTATTTAAAGTATGTACTTAATGCCTCTGAAGAGCCTGTAATGTACTGTATTTTGTTGCATGAAAAATAGTTTAAAACAAGGAGAAACAAATGGGAAGAATAAAAACAACAAATGCTATTGATCATGTTAATTAACAGTAGTGTGCATAACTTGATATATAATAAGTTCACACAGCATGTTATGATACTAACAACACTTTACCTTACATCCTCTTAAGTTATTTATACAAAACAAAAATGTGTAAACCTGTAGGACTATTTTAGTGAAATGTGCTTTGTGCAGTTGCCATTAGAGGGCAGCACATAACAGATCATATACGAGCAATTTTCAGTCGCACTACAATTGTATTGTTGAACATTACATTGTATAGAAATATTTTTAACACTATATGACCAAGGATTATATGTGGCTGCACATAAAAATTTTGTGTGACGAGTTAACTGTTGCACTCCGAGGGCTAATAGACAATTGGTGCAAGATATTTTGTTAATAAAATTTACTGCTTTTGTTTAAGATGTATATGAATATTCATATTTGACTTGTTTTCAGTCTTAATCACATACAATACAATACCATACTAAAAGCATTTCATCATCTTTCACTTTTCCAGAGTGAAGCATCAGGGTTTTGCTATGTCAATGATATTGTTTTAGCAATATTGGAACTGCTCAAGTACCACCAGAGAGTTCTCTACATTGATATTGACATTCATCATGGTGATGGTGTTGAAGAAGCCTTCTACACTACTGACCGAGTAATGACCGTTTCCTTCCACAAGTACGGAGAATATTTCCCGGGCACTGGTGATCTTAGAGTAAGTGTTTTTGTTTTTAATTTTAGTAGGTAGACCTTTGATGTTTAGGTTCCATTGTCAGGGGACAGGTAGCCTGTGTGTATATATATATATATATATACTTCTGGTTTGTATTGAGGGCCCTCTCAAAGTCAAACTACTGACTCTTCCCAGGATGCAACCCTACAACTGTTGCCTAACTGCTGGGTACTTGTTTACTGCTAGGTGAACATAGGCATTAGGTGATGGGAAATGGGCCAAACCATTTCTGTCCTGCCTGGGAATCAAACCCGGGATCCCTGATTTTGAGTTAAGAACGAACTGCATTATGAGACCCTTTAGTAAAGGTTTCCAATAACATTACCTATATGTGCCAGGAATAGGTCTATCTTTTGACTAAAATAGTATCTAGACTGGAACAGTGAATGCTCAATGAATATCTTAGCTCTAGATTCTCACTTAACTTTGTGATAGGATATACACATTACTGTATCGAACTTGGTTAATAATTACTTGTTACATTGCAGGATATCGGTGCAGGCAAAGGCAAATATTATGCTGTAAACTTTCCGCTAAGAGATGGCATTGATGATGAAAGTTACGAGAGCATATTTGTACCTATTCTAACAAAGGTTAGTTATGTTTCAATTAAGTTCTGCTTTGGCTATTCAGTATGTTCACTGAAGCAGCCTGTATAATTTTTTCATTCTTGTTTCTAGGTGCATGTTAATGATGAGTGTTTCTTTTATTATGAGATAGCATCATTGTCATGTAAATGTTTTAATATTTAAGATGGTACTATTATTTTTGGAGAGATGTGAAGGTTGTGAGGCTACAGTACAGGACTGTATAATGTATTTGGGATGTGTGTGTGTGCAGTAGTACTGTAGTATGCTTAGTTTTAAGCACAAGGCATTAAAGATTAAGTGATTTATTACTAATTCATCGATTTCATTTTTAAAAGATTTTATTTTTTTAATGCAATGTGCTGACAGTATAAAGTCTAATATTTGTGATATCTTTTTTGTAGGTGATGGAGACTTACCAGCCGTCTGCTATTGTTCTTCAGTGTGGCGCAGACTCTTTATCAGGAGACAGACTTGGTTGCTTCAATCTCACATTGAAAGGTAAACCATTGTAGAGAAAGTAGAGAATAAGCCGTAATATTTAAAAGTATGATTATGTACACACCTTCTTACTTCTTATTTTCATACAGGTATTTTTTTGTCCCACAATGGCAGCATGCGTTATATGTATTTTTGTAAATTCTCACTAAGTGGTAGACTATCCAGGTTGTAAAAGGTGCATGAGATATACAAGATAGACATCTTGAGATCTTGAGGTTATCTTGAGATGATTTCGGGGCTTAGCGCTCCCGTGTCCCCGCGGCCTGGTCCTCGACCAGGCCTCATTTTTGTTACACATCCCCAGGAAGCAGCCCGTAGCAGCTGTCTAACTCCCAGGTACCTGTTTGCTGCTAGGTAACAGGGGCATCAGGGTGAAAGAAACATTTTGCCCATTTGTCTCCGCCTCCAACGGGGATCAAACCCGGAACCTCGACACTACGAATCTGAAGCACTGTCCACTTAACTGTCAGGTGCCCAGAACATGGCCATAGGCTGAGTTTGGGGGAGTACAAGAATGCCCACAACCCACTCTAGGTATACTCCAGACAACAAAAACAGTTTCCAAAGAAGTGTGAGAGAAGGCATAAGACTGCGTGGTCGGGAAAGGTGGTGACATACCTACCTGTAGAACAACAGAGGCTGTAATAGAGAATGGTGGGTTTCTTCACTAGTAGTACTCAATGATAAGATCAAAATATAATAAATACATAATAAATATGAAATGGTTTTAATGTGTTGAACAAATGGATGATGGAAGACTGGTGTATATTGAAGGGAATTTTTAGGATTGGAGGCAGATAAGGAAGACCAGGAAGATGATGAAGAAATGTTGGTTTTATTTATGAGGAAGCTGAGATTGAGCATGAACAATGTGTACGGGAATTGGTAAAAGGCATGTAGTAGGTATTACTTGAAGATATTTTTATTAATACAAATCTAAGAACATGCAGCACTTAACTATAATCTACAACAAATAAGCATTGCATAGTAAGGGGTAGCACTAAACAAGGTGTGCCTTCTTAGAGTGAATGTTCAGTGCCATTGGAATTGGCATTTCAGAGATCGTTACATTCTTTTACCCATAATATGTAAGAGACTGCCGAGTGAAACCATTCATGAGGCATGCGGTAGATGTCATGTTCTAGGCCTGATGAGCCACAAATTAGTTTTACAAGGCTAAAACACTGAGCCAGGGCTTTATAATGCAACATGGTGATTATGCTATCTTCAGAGAAGTAATGTGAAGGTAAGGCATCATATGGAGAAAGCCAAATCAGTATGATTACTGTATATAGCATTTGGAAGGGATACAAGGACATGGTCATGGGATATGAAGACAGTGAAGGAATGGTCCCCCAACAATTTGGGCTATTGGGGATTTGAAGCCAACCCTGCAAAGAGTGAAGCTGTTGCTGCACTGACAAGTCCAAGTGGTTGGAAGTAATGTTAAATAATGGTTGATTGGGTGAAGTGACTGACTGTCCAACTTTATGAAACACATTCATGGAGCACCAGGACCACGATATGAAAGGTGCTCATTCACAGGAAAGTATGCATTCTCTTCCATGCTATTTGGTAATGGAGAGATGCGATACCCTTTGAAATGTGGTGTCCCAAGATACTTAGAAGCATTCGGGTAACTCATTTGGTTTACCAATGGCTAGTGTTGAGTATCTCGGCTCTGATCTTGGCTGGAGGTAAGGCTTCTTTAGTGAGTTGGTCAGTTGAACTATTTCTGTTTGGAACCAGCAGACCCTCACAATTGTCATAACTTGGCTAACTGAGCATTTCCAGTAGGAACTTGCATAGTTCCAACTGGAAAACTTACCTATTGCATTTCACTTTTATAAACCATTGTTCACAATGGTGTATTTAGGTTTGGGACTTGTCACACACCTTGTGGTAGGGATAAAGCAATGCAGATTCAGGAAATATTTTACTTAATTTATTAAGTGTGGTGAGCGCTGAATGACTACCTGTCGCAGTACTGGGCTTGGAGCTCAAATTCTACAATAAGTGTGATGATGACTTATGATGCTATCTTTAACCACTATATTTTCAACTTGTCCTCTCCTTTGTTATCATAACCAATGTTACAAATGCAGTCTGTTAACAAAAGTAACAAATCACAAATATTCACATTTTCTGTGCGTTGAACTCCATAGGTTAGTTGGGTTGCTTGAGTTTGTAAGTTTCTGATTACACCAAAAGGGTGGATTTTTTATGAAGTGGCAAATAAAGAGAAAATGCAGGTATATTATGCTTGACATGTATACACATACCTGAGATTGTGTGCACCTCTGTATTTAATCCAACCAATGTTACTGGAAATTGAGGTCATAAGTAGGTACTGTACAGTAGTAGATTGTTTAGTGTATTAGTACAATTTCCTTGCATTCAATATAATTTACCTAGAAATGTTTTCTATCCTTAGGACATGCTAAATGTGTGGAGTTTGTCAAGAAGTACAATTTACCACTTCTACTCTTGGGTGGCGGAGGATACACAATTCGCAATGTTGCAAGGTGCTGGACATATGAAACTGCTGTTGCATTAAGTACAGATATTGCTAATGAGCTTCCATACAATGACTACTTTGAATATTTTGGACCAGACTTTAAGCTGCACATAAGCCCTTCAAACATGGCAAACCAAAACACACCAGAATATTTGGACAAAATTAAAACAAGATTATTTGAAAATTTGAGAATGCTTCCACATGCTCCTGGAGTGCAAAGCATTGGTAAGTAATTAAAATTGTACTTTTTCGTGTCTATGTGATTATCCCGGCTTTAAAATATATTTTTAAACAGTACTCGGTATCTTTTGCTATGATATTGTAGGTAATTATACTGTTGATCTAGAGTCTCTTATGATATATTTATTCAGAAACAATCTACTCATAGTACAAGAGAGCTATATAAGTAATATTTGTGATATAGGAGTTAAGTATATTAATTGTTAAACAAATTTCTTGGAGCAAATTAAGAGACTGCGAATAGGCACACTCCACGTAAATCGTAATATTCTCATTTGCAGCTATCCCAGAGGACGGTGTAGCAGAAGAAAGTGAAGATGAGGATAAGGCCAGTCCAGACGAAAGGATATCTATTCGTGCTTCTGATAAAAGAATTGCTCCCGATAATGAGTATTCTGATTCCGAAGATGAGGGCGATGGCCGTAGAGATGAAAGATCGTTTAAGCCAAAGAAGAAGACGAAGACAGACGAGGCCGCTGCTAACAATGGTGCCGGAGACGACAAAAAGGAAGCATCCGTAACAAAAGATGATAAGAGTGGGACACAGGTGGGACCAAATGAAACCAAAGTAGAGTCTTGAGAAAAAGTTTATTTTAATGATTCAATTTAATTAGTAAAATATATTTAGGTTAATGATTTCCACAAAGTATTGACATTGTAATTAGCTTTGTCAGATCTGTGTGCATTTTTCATGTGACTTGTTAGTTGACATGAAGTGATGAAGTGATTGCTCAGCACAAGTTACAGTTTGGTTAAAGTTTGCTCGTGAGATTTCTCAGGGCATTTATGATCATTATTCTTGTTCTGGCTAGACATTTCATATTCAATGTACTAAAAGTTCATATTCTGATAATTTGCATGTGCCTTGACATGTTTTGTGTAAACTTAAAGATTATTCATCAGCATTATTGAAGTTGATGGTCTGGCAAGTTACACGTTTCTTAATATTTTCAGTTTAACCGAGATTGATGCTGCGTCAAGTCATGTGTTTCTTAGAATTTTCACCATTAATAATGGGATGCCCTGGAAGGTTTCCTGTTTCATACCATTTTCACCAGTACTAAGATTGATATGCAAGGTCAGTCGTCACTTCCAGTAATTGCTGATATATTGTCTACATTTTTCTCTGGGTAGTACTCTCTATAACTGAGGTCTTAATGAAAAGTGTGGCTGGAAATGATAGGTTGCTCTTTACTTGTAGTCAGTATTATATAAATCTCATGGTTCATTAAAAGCATGCAAGATGATTACAGTAATTCTGTGTTTTGCTCATGTTTGAAGTATACCATGTTCCTAATTCAATGTTCTTCAATTGTACTGTAGATGTTTTTCTCAAGTTTTGTATATATGAGTTGGTGGTACAGTATATACACTACAGATACAGGAATTTTCTCATTAAAATTCGTAATATAATGTCTAGTATTTACAACTTACAAATTTTGTTTAGTTTACAAACCAAAATAGGTCATTTTTCCTGTAGGAATTATGGAGTTAATTTGCATCACGCATAATTTTCACAATGAATGGATGGTGTGTAATTTATCACCTCGTTTTGACACATTTATTTTAACCTCCATTGAACCAATTTTATAGTTTTATTATTAGGAAGTAGTCTGTATGTGTAATGACTCCAAAAACAATCTGTGGTAAATTTCTTAGTCAGACTGTGCAGGCTGTGCACATCTTTAACCATTTGACTTTCCTCTTTTGGGTAAGTTGGAATGTAGCCGCAGAGTAGAGACGGTGCAGAAGTAAGCTGCTGTATGGCATGGATCATTTGTAAGATGTACTAGTGTTTATGTTGCAATACTTTTAAATATATTAAAATCCAGGTCTAATGACGTGTGAATATTTTTATTTACCAGAGCTATCTTAAAAATGTGAACTTAAGTACAGTGATTTGAAACTAAATTATGTAGATGTAGTTCATCTATCATTCTTCATCATAAATGCTCTTGGGGGATAATTTATATCTAGTTGCAATAAGAAATATTTTGTTCACTTCACCTGTTAAAGATGATTTATTTTGATATTAACTTGAAATATTCTTTTTCGAAGTTCATTGGAACAGCATGGCATTTTCGAAGTTCATTGGAACAGCATGGCAGTGTTGGCAAAGTTCCATTCATGAGGTTGGGAGCCTGAGTAATATTGCACATATTACCCAGATGTGTTTACCTTATGCAAGTGAGCTGTAGTTGGGGACAATAGTCTAAGTGTACAAATTATTTATTAACGATTTAGGAACTTGGGTAACTAGTTGGGATTATGTTTCGACATTTATCACCATTTCATTTATAAAGCTGAACTTTACTTTCATCCGATTTTGTGACATTATACTGGAGACAGTAATCATGAACTGTAAATATGAAAAAGGTCATATATTTTGATAATTTAGTTACCATTTCATACATCACATTGGGGGATCATTCTCCATTTTTACCATTCACTGCCATGTTTTTACATAGTGTGGTGTGATTTGCACTTGTGATGACAACATTCTTGGTGATGTAATAATGTTTTCCAAATCTTTGGAAGAATTCATGTTTGTCAAAGACACCAAAAGATTTTTTTTATTAATTTGTCTAATTTCACATGTAGTTGTAAATTTTATGCTTCTAATAAACAAATGCCTTTTGTAAATAGGAATTTTCTTTACCGTAAATATTCTAAAAGTATGTAGAGGTATTTTAGAGTGTTGTTAAAATTAATTGGTAGAAGTTTAATGTTATTCATACACGGATACTGTACAAAGATACATAAATTAAAAGTGCCTTAACAGTGTTGTCACTACCACTTACTACCTAATGAAGGTGGGGAATGAAGTACAGTAATAATTATGTCAATATTAACTCCTACAGCTGTACATAAGCGATTGGTCTGTGCCTAGAAAACTGTTAACAAATTGTGTAATGCCCTAACAAGCCTCTGAACCCAGTAAACGAGTAACTTTTGTTTTACTCTTTCTACTTTCTAATATATATATATATATATTTGTATTTTTTTTTTTTGTAAAATTATTCAAAATACTGTAATGCATATTTTAAAAATGCATTACTGAACTTATAAAATTGTACAGGAGAGTTTATGACATTCTGGACCTACTATGAGGACACTATGTACAAGCCCGTTACTTTTACATAGACGACTCCTGACACCTGTTGGCAGGCTGGGAGCTTTCCCTTCCCATAGCTCATGGTAAGCCTTACCCTACTAGTTTTACAGACAGGAGGGGTACAGGAGTAGAGAACTGCTGACTCCTGTTAGCAGGCTGAGAGCTTTCCCTTCCCGTAGCTCATGGTAAGCCTTACCTTACTAGTTTTACACACAGGAGCAGATGACTGCTGACTCCTGTTAGCAGGCTGGGAGCTTTCCCTTCCCATAGCTCATGGTAAGCCTTACCCTACTAGTTTTACACATCGGAGAGTACAGGAGTAGACGACTGCTGACTCCTGTTGGCAGGCTGAGAGCTTTCCCTTCCAATAGCTCATGGTAAGCCTTACCCTACTAGTTTTACATACAGGTGGGTATAGGAGCATATGACTGCTGACTTCTGTTAGTAGGCTGAGAACTTTCTCTTCCCATAGCTCATGGTAAGCCTTACCCTACTAGTTTTACACACAAGAGGGTACAGGAGCAGATGACTTCCCACTAATGTTAGCAGGCCAAGAGCTTCCTATAGTCCATGGTAAGCCTTATCCTACTAGTTTTCCCTGCAACACAACCTACCAATCAGTTTACAACTGGAATCTCAGTAGCTACTGTATGAACAGGTGAACAGTTAAGGATTCAGCCTGTCCTCTTTGGACAAAATATGAGCTGCTAAAACACTCGAACCGAAACTACTGACCTAGCTTAGCAGACCCATGCATAGAAAATGTGATCATTTGCGAGTTGTTACTTTTAATAGTACCCCTTATTTTGTCTGTTGGGGTAATAGGGTATAAATATATGCAGTATTATTTGAGAGGACAGGTTGAAAGATTGGTGATCAATTAATTTTCCCCAGGTTGATGCAGGACTAGTATGTGCACGTTGTGTGCGGTGATGTGTGTCAGGTGCAGTGGTATCTGTTTGTGTTATGTATGCAGTAGTTTGTCAAGTAATTACTCGAGTGTAGTTATAGGATGAGAGCTGCACTTGCAGTGTCCCATTTTCCCAGTACTCTGTCATATAACACCAATTACTGATGATCTCCGGGATGCAGTCCACAACAGCTATCTAACTCCCAGGTACCTTTTTTACAGCTAGATGAATAGACATCAGTACATACACAAATCACAATAGCGTGATGCATCAAATTAATAAATCCACAAGGGCCGTGATGAAGGTTCAAACCTACGTCCAGGAGCATCCCAGATCCTTGTGGATTTGTTCATTTGATGCATCACGCTATTGTGATTTCTGTGTGTAATGAAGTAAGGGTGAGGAGGTAGAACAGCTTGTTGACAGACCCCGGGTGCATGGGGGAATTGTGTAAAACCCTGGTTTGTTTCTCAGAGAGACTGCAGGATTCGTGTGAGGGCAGTAGCACTTCTTTTAACCATGTCGTGGCACAGTCGATTAAGACGCGTCTGGGATCCTCTTGGATGTAGGTTCGAACCCTCATCATGGCCCTTGTGGAATTGTTCATTTGTTAAGACATCAGGTTAACCCTTAAACTGTGCAAAAGATACATACTGTATACGATATGACATAATTAAAGTTTTTCAAACTTGCACACTTTCTAATTTTTTGTGCATGAACAACTAGGCAAATGGTCCAGTTTTGTCTAAATGATCACAACCTAACTTGAAAAACAAGAAAACAAGAAAATAATTTTAAAATTTAATATTGAAAACTTCAGATTTTCAAATCAGATTAAAAAATATGAACTATCACCAATTGTTCATTTGGTGTTATTATGTTCTCAGAATAAAATATAATTTTCATTTTCATCCAGTTAGATTACAGGTTTTCAGTATAGTTCACTGAAAAAAATTGTCAATGTGGCATTTGAAATATGCGGCAAATTTAGACCAAAAATAAATTATAACTCCAAATGTATAGTTTATGAAAAATCCATTCTGAAGGGATTGTAGAACAGACAGCTGAGCACACAATGTCAAAATGGTGAAAATCTGTCAGAAGCTGGAATTTTAGAAGCCACTCAAAGTTAAAACTCTAGTTTCAGAGATAATTGAAGTTGAAGTTCTCAATAATGAATAGAGGTAGTTCTAATTCATTAAGTTAATTCGTTTGTATGTATTAATGAACATTGTTTGGAATTCGCACTCGAATATGTGAAAGTTGTAGGTCAATATGTGTTGAAATGAAGTAAAGAAAAATCCCCCCCCCCCCCCAAAAAAAAAACTAGGGATAATTATAATGGTTTAGGGGATATATTTAGAGTTTACTGTACTTTATATAAGTGAAAAATCCCTAATCATCAAAGCAACCTAGAGACAGAAAATAGAGTTTGAAATCTGTGGAAAAAAATCAGCCAGAAAAATTCAGTCCCAAGTTCTGCGAGTTGACTGATTTATTTGTTGACCAAATTTTATTCTATCTTCACATAGTTAGAGAAGGGTATGCACTTTCCAAGATGTAAAGGTTACAACAAAATCAGATAATAAACAAAGAAAAAATAAAATCTTTAAAAAAAAAAAAATTGGACATTGTTGAATGTAACATATATTACCATTGGGCAATGTATTTATATAATATATAACAAAATAGAGTATAATAGCATACTTACTCATTATTTGTGGTATTATGTATTACTCAGCAATGCTATGAAGGCACCAACTGCATAGCTTGTAGACATGTGGACCAACTATCGCTTTGTTTGGCCTTCAAGCTTGGCCTCGGGCCGGGCTTGGGGAGTAGAAGAACTCTCAGAACCCCATCAACCAGGTATATCCACTTTGTGGACACTTACTACTGTACTATTTTTCTTCTTTGAGCATCAGACAGGTGCTTGCATCTCTTTATTACTGCATTATCCCTCAGTTCCGGTTAATAGGAGCTGTTCTCCTTATCAACAAAACATTCTTCTTTTTAAAAAATGCATCTGAAATATTTTGATGAAAGTTTCACAACGCTGAAGCCAATAAATTGGAGATTCGTTAAACATTTTTAAGTTTTTTTTTACATAAATCGAATATTTTTCGCTTCTGGGCTTTAAATGTACATGGTTTAAGGGTTATAGGAAAGGCTGCCCAAATCATTTGTCTTTGCTGGGAAGTGAACCTAGCTGTGTCTTGTATCCTGTATTTTAAGTTCATAATTTCTATTCCTAATTACTGTACCTGGAACTTATCACTGTTAAACATCGTGCTATTTTTCATTGCCCAATCTGCCCATAGTTTTTTGTCTTCCTAGAGAGGTAATTTTCATGCTTTTTTTTTATCTGCAAAGGATATAAAGTTGTGACTAGTATTTTTGTCTATATCCGAGATAAGAATGAGAAATCGCAGCGGGGCAAGGACTGCCATTGGGGTACAGGGGCCAAATTCACGAAGCAGTTACGCAAGCACTTACAAACCTGTACATCTTTTCTCAATCTTTGGCGGCTTTGTTAATGTTTGGCGGCAACAGTTAATGAACTCTGAAGCACCAAGAGGCTGTTTATAATAATAATAACAGTTGATTGGGAAGTTTTCATGCTTGTAAACTGTTTAATAAATGTAACCAAAGCTGTCATAGATTGAGGAAACATGTACACATATGTAAGTACGTACTTGCATAACTGCTTCATGAATCTGGCCCCAGAGCTCTTCACTGCACTTATTTGATTGACTTACTTTTTGCATTCTGTTTGACAAAATATAAAATTCACTGCCCTACTTTACCCATTATTCATATTGATTTTATTTTATGGGTTATAACTATGTCACACTTATCAAATGCCTTTTCAAAGTCTGTATACCACGTCTGCGTTTTGTTATTTTGTCATAGTGGCTGAGTAAGTGCAAAAGAAATGATCTTCATGCTCTAGATCCATGTTGACCTGGATTATGAAATTCATTGTTCAACCATAAAACGAGATTTGATTCCTAATCACTCTTTTTTTTATAACTTTTGTTATGTTTGATGTTAATGCAACTGATCTATAGATTTTTCCCAAAAGAGTACTACCTCCCTTGTATAGTGGAGCTATATCAGCTGCTTTAAGTGCTCTCTTCCCTGTATCCAGGCTTTTTCTCCATAAATTACAATGAGCACTAGTGCTACTGAAACTTTAAATTTCCTTATAAATATTGAATTCCAAGAGTGCCCAGCGCTGAGTGCATGGGGCATGTTGTCAATTTCTCTTTCAAAGTGTTAAGTGCTCATGTTAATATCAGTTATATTGTCGGGGTTGGATGTCTTTCATAAAGCTGTCTGCATTTTCAACTTTCATGTTATTTATTGGGGTGCTATACATAGCCTCAGTTTTGTCTTTAAGGATTTCACTATTTTCTTTGTCATCCTCTTGTGTGTGATTCTTCAATTATAATATAGTTTAGTACTTTGTCTTGGTACCACCACTACACAAGAGCATATTTCCATCTGTAATTAGTCTATATATTTTAGCCTCGTCTCTTATAGTCTTGGTATAAAGCAATATTTAAAATGTGGACTGCACTGAATATTACCATTTGTACAAATACAACGTACCAATATTTACATAAAAAGCTCTATGTACAATTTGTACATGTGTACTAATATGTGCCAAAACACGAATCACAGATGAAGCCTTTGAGCATTTGTAATCAGCTCAGTTAATAAATGTTTAATGACATTTTGTTATAAGAAATTGATTGCCATGTATCTCATCTCATGCACCTATAGTGTATATGTGTACTCTATCTGCAAAATTTCCTATTACTGTACTAATTTTTCAATAAAGTAGACACGGATTCATATTTGTATGATTTTATTAATCATATAAAGGCATTATAATAAAGACCAAAGTGAACCAAGTAAATTATAATACTGTATGCATAACAGCATTGTGTAGGCATTTAACACCGAGGAGCAAGTAAATCAAATGAAGGCATCAAGCCAGGAAGACTAGCACCGTCTGTGTTGCTGAATATTCAAAGGATGCTAAATATATCTCAGGATGCCAATACTGTACAAGAAAGAACAAAAAGACTAAAGCAGGTGATATCAAAGGTAATGGATCTACCAAGGATCCTATCGAGGGACTCTTGGAAAGCAAGACAAACTATCACGAACATTTTACAAGATTCATGTACTGTATATGCATGATAGTAAGTGGGACCACCCATAGATTTGGTCATTACAGTATACTGAACATAATTTCTGGTGTATTACCTTAACGTGGTTTTGAGGATGAATTTCCAGGCAGCCTCATCTCTGACCAGGCCTCCCATTTGGTGGTCTGGTCATCCAGGCTATTAGATGCCTGTGCTCACAATTTAACATATTAATTGGAGCCTGATTAATCAGGTACACTTTGCAAGTTTTTTTTAAGTTACCCTTTTAACACCGTAAAAGGTTGGTTACTATGCCTCTTACTTATAGAAGGAAGAGTGCCACTATGCATTACACTATGTTCATTATTTTACTAATCGTGCCAAGTAGAAAGGAAGGTATTTTTGAGAATGTGCCAAGGCAGTATGACTTGACTTATGCCAAGTACAGTATTAGTTACATTATATTAAAGGGATCATGTATATGCTTTTTACAACATAAGTTTACAGTGTGTGAATAAAAGTCATATTTCATAAAGACTTTATTCATAGTTTTGTAAGAAGGATTTAACAGCTACTGCCAAGAAATATCACAAAAGCCTCTAAAATTTACATCAAATTGCAAAATTAAAGTTATTACCATGCCATGAGTTAACTTAATAATACTGTACTGTAGTGTATGTACATCTAGTCCGAACCTTGTACTATATTATCGCTTTGTGATAAATGTTTGTACAGTACTAATTTTGTAAGACTTTAAAAGCTGCTGCCCTGTCAGATAAATACACAAAATGCAATGTTGGCAACACATACTTTAATACAAGTTAACAAATTACTGAAAAAAGAATGAGAAATTATTTAGCTGCGACTATTTAGCATTATCTTTCAGAGCTCCTCTTTTCTCTCAATCTTGATGAGTTCAACCTCAAACACGAGTGTAGCATGAGCTGGGATCTTGGGAGGAGCTCCGGATGCTCCGTAACCCAGATCGGAGGGGATTACCAACTTCCTCTTTTCTCCCTCGCACATCCTGTTAAATTTGACATATATTAACTTTAAGCAGCAGTTTTGATTAGTAAAAAAAAAAAAAAAAGTGAAATACAGTATGAGGAGTTTAGTGGAACACAGCATGAAACAGAAGTCCATAAAAATTAAGTAAACAGCATATAATCACCAGACTAAAAAAAAACAAATATTCCATTCAAACTGATTATTAAACTTTCAATATTAAGGGATGAAATTATAATGGTACAGTATGAAAGCACAAAGACCACAAAATATTTCTCGGATGAATTTGCTCTTTATTTCAGGGCCTCTATACAAATGTATTAAACATTATCTGAAACTAGTACCACACCATTTTTTATAAGCTTGTAATACTACATACTATACTGTATAAAATGAATTTCAGAAAAGACCTGGTTAAATATTGGTTTGGAAATTTATGTTATTACATTGAACTCATACAATGAGATGGTAGAAGTACTGTACTTGGAATCAAGGTAGAAAATATTAATCTACTTATTATTTTAATATACAAACTGCCAGATGCAACAGTTGAGGAATTCACAGAACAGATCCACAAAATAAGAGAAACCTTGATAACCTAGCAAACCCAGTACCAGATATTATCTTCTTTGGAGACTTCAATCTACCCAGTTTAAAATGGAGAAACATTATAGCAGGAAATCAATCTTGGAAATAACCAACCACAGGTCAGAGAACTACTGAGATTCTGTGACAAATTCTCGCTCAGTCAGCAGATTACAGAACCAACTAGGAACGAAAACACGCTGGACCTGATATTCATGAACAATGATGAGCTAATCAGAGACATTATAGTCTCAGACACTACGTACTCAGACCACAAGCACATTGAACTGCAAACTAACGTTAATAATGGTAGTAGGCCCAAGAGAAGCAACAAGCGAGAAGGGTTATTCAATAAATTCAATTTTAATAATAAAAGGATAGACTGGGAGAAAATAAACAGGGAACTTACAAACATTCAATGGGAAAATGTTCTAAGAAATAAAAATCCTACAAAAGGAATAGAAAAACTGACTTCAGAAGCATATGAAGTCTGTCTGAAACATGTTCCTTTGAGGAAAGCCAGAAAGAGGTCAAATGTAGAAAGAACGCAGACAACATTACAAAAGAAGGAAGAAATTAACGGAAATGCTTAAGCAGACACGACTCCATACAAAGAAGAAATAATTTAAGCAGGGAGATTGAAGAAATCGAACAGAGACAAGCATTCCTATCAGACTGAAGAAAGGCAACTAGAACAGAAAGCAATTCAAGAAATAAAGAAAAACCCAAAATATTTCTTCACATATGCTAAATCAAAAGCAAAAACCACTCCCAGTATTGGGCCTATTCATATTAGTGAAGGTTCATACATTGAGGATGACAAAGAAATTAGTGAAATCCTAAAAAAGCAGTACAGTATGAGGACATGTTTAGCACTCCGATACACAGCATGAAAGTGGAAGATTTGGACAATTTCTTAATGAGTGATATCCAAACACCTGTAAATATAACTGATATCAACACGAGCATAGCAGATTTTGAAAGAGAAATTGACAATATGCCCATGCACTCAGCCCCGGGTAAAGACTCATAGAATTCAATATTTATAAAGAAATGCAAAGTGCCACTAGCACAGGCACTCAGTACTGTATAGTGTGGAGAAAGAGCTAGGACATGGGGGAGATACCAGATGCGCTGAAAGCAGCAGACATAGCCCCTCTACACAAGAAAGGTAGCAAAGCATTGGCAAAGAATTATAGACCAGTTGCACTAACGTCTTACATAATACAAGTATTTGAAAGAGTGATTAGGAGTCAGGTGACTAGATTCATGGAAACCAATGACTTCCACAATCCAGGCCAACATGGATTTAGAGCAGGAAGATCATGCCTCTCACAGCTACTTGATCATTATGACAAAATCACTGAGGCATTAGAAAAAAAACAGAATGCAAATGTTGTATACACAGACTTTGCAAAGGCATTCGACAAATGTGACCATGAAGTGATTGCACACAAAATGAGGTCAATGGGTATAACTGGTAAAGTAGGACGCTGGATACTCAATTTCCTGTCGAACAGAACACAAAGAGTAACAGTCAATCAAGTAAAATCGAGTCCGAGTGTAGTTAAAAGCTCTGTACCTCAGGGTACAGTCCTTGCACCACTGCTGTTCCTTATTCTCATATCTGATATAGATAAAAATACAAGTCACAGCTTCGTGTCATCTTTTGCAGATGATACAAAAATCAGCATGAAAATTACCTCTGCTGAAGACATTGAAAAACTACAAACAGACATTAACAAAGTTTTCGATTGGGCAGCAGAAAATAACATGATGTTTAACGGTGATAAATTCCAGGTACACAGATACAACAAAAATGAGGATCCGAAACATAATACAGGGTACAAAACACAATCGAATCTGCCCACAGTAGGAAAACAGCATGTCAAGGATTTGGGAATAATGATGTCTGACGACCTAACGTTTAGGGAGCATAACCAAGCAAGTATTGTGTCAGCCAGAAAAATGATAGGATGGATTACGAGACCCTTCAAGTCCAGAGATTACATCACAATGGTTGTACTCTTCAAATCACTTGTGTTGTCCCGTCTTGAGTACTGCTCAGTACTCACTTTCCCCGTCAGAGCAGGAGAAATTGCTGAAATAGAGGGAATACAGAGAACATATACAGCACGCATAGATGAGATAAAGCACCTAAATTATTGGGATCCTCTCAAAGCTTTCCAAATGTACTCACTAGAAAGGAGACAAGAGAGATACCAAATAATATACAGTACACATGGAAAATACTGGAGGGACAGGTCCCAAATCTGCACAGTAAAATAACAACGTACTGGAGTGAACGATATGGAAGAAAATGCAGAATAGAACCAGTGAAGAGCAGAGGTGCCATAGGCACAATCAGAGAACACTGTATAAACATCAGAGGTCTGCGGTTGTTCAACGTCCTACCAGCGAGCATCAGAAATATTACCGGAACAACCGTGGACATCTTCAAGAGAAAACTAAATTGTTTTCTTCAAGGAGTGCCCAGGCCCACATACCCATCACAGCCCAACCGGGCTGTGATGGGTATGTGGGCATGCGGACCGCTCCAAGCAACAGCCTAGTGGATTAAACTCTCACAAGTCAAGCCTGGCCTCGGGCCAGACTTGGGGAGTAGAACAACTCCCAGAACCACATCAAGCAGGTATTACGAAATACTGTAACAGACATGAGATTACTGGATTGTTTTGAGCACAGGTTAGGCCAGCATTTCTCAACCTTTGTACCTATGAAATAATTTTGGCTCGTACTTTAGATTTCACTGTCAACTGAAAGGAGGTTATTTTTGTCTTTGCTCTTGATGCTGATGAAACGATAAAAATTAAACACAAATGACTCAAAAATATATTTTCACATGATTAGAATTAGCCTATTTATCACTCTTATGGATCCCCTAGTTATCTTGGGGGTCTGCAGAACCGTGGTGGTTGAGAAATGCTGTGTTACATGTAAGAGAATTTGCACCGGTATAAAAATAAGCTGCCTTGAATATCCAATAGACCTTTGGCAGTTTCCTATTCCTAAATTATCTACAAGATATTTTGGTTAAAGTAATGCAATTCTGATATTTAAAAGTCTTAAGAAATTTAAGTTTATGTAACAATGATAGGCATAGATACAGTTATCTAATTTTTATGTGCTAAATAACAGAGGTCACAGGACAGTGTGCCGGGCCACTCCACTTACAAGGTTTCCCACTCGATTCCATTTCCTCTGAAATGGAATCGAGTGGGAACACATCTTAATTGCCCACATCTTAATTGCACTTAGGATAACCACTCCAATACCATGTGCCTCTACCTTTCTAATGAGTTGTAATACACAGCATCAAGCTACAATGAGCACGTGCTATGTGAAAAAGTTAAGTAGCGACAGGGTGGCCATACTGGGCTGTGGGGTCGGTGATCCCCCAGAACCATTAGTACGTAATCAGTCATGTTGGTGTTCAATTTGATGTTTTGCTGACATTCACTTGCATGCATTTTTAGAATGTAAACATTTTAAAACTAGAAATTCCCCAATACATACAGTATGTGTAAAGCACATTTCTATCAATGGAAAAGGAGAATAAAAGTGAGTAGGATTATGTGATTGAAATGAGAAGTGTGGGTGGGGTACAGTTTTCCAGTTAGAAACAGACTTAATGAGGTCTCTAACCCAATGATTGGCCATTATGCAGGATGCAACCCAAAACCGTTGACTAGATCCCTGGTATCTATTTACTGCTAGGCAAACAGAGGAAGCTGTACGCAAACATCTCGACTTGCCCAAAAATTAAACTCTGGATTAACTAGTTATGAGGTGACTGCACACTAACCACAACCTGTGTTTGTAAGGTGGGGTACTGTTTATATTTGGGGTATGGCAATATGGTGGGTATTGTCCTGTGGCACATGGTTGAGAGGTGAACACCAGTGAATACTGGGGTAGGGAACAGTTAATATTAAGGTGGTGAGAAGGAAACTGACTTTTCCTTACTAGTAGTAAGCTCCGGGATCACTCTTAAGTTAAAAAAAAACCAGCGTTCAATGTAATGAAACGCCATTTTCTGGGTGAGTCCCGGAGGCTCCCCGGAGCTATCCCAGGCTGATATGCTAATGTCAGACTTTGGCATCAGTCATGTGTATGGAGTTCTTAGGCCTACCGGGGACCACGGCCAGAACCGGGCCCCCTCAGAGAGGCAAGGGGAGCAATGGCCTATAGAAGCCCCCGTGTAGTTGGAAGCATTCTATGTCTGCCATCGACCGGAACAGGCACCCAGAAAGGTAAGCGCCCCAAAACAAACCCCTATTCTGGTTAAAATTGCTACCTAATACCGAACTAGTGGATAGAACTCCCCAACCGAAAACAAGCAAATTAGTGTGACGTCACACACTGCCGCGCCGCTGTCTGCGCAGCTCCCCCCTCCCCGGGAGGGGGAAGGGGGAG